GCGGAAGCAAACCTACTCTTCTTCCTTTTTTCCGCATCAACCTAGTCATGCGCCCCGCTGCCATCCTTCCCTGCTACTCCGTCTTTAATTTTCATCAACGGGTTGGCTAGTTCTCAGCTTTTTTGATCCTGTACAATGAAACATGCCCTCCTAAATTTTGCTATTTGGACGGCCATGTATACATCCCTTATTATTGGCGCCTTTTTGTTATGAGGTTATTGCACAATGGGCGATCAAGAAGATCAACGTAAGTACAATCTATTATTTCTAATATTAATGAATTTCAAGCAAATATTATCTGTTATGTTTGAAATTGTTATTAGTTTAATTGTCGGTGGTTTTGTAATTGTTTTAAGATTATATATATATATATAAACAAGCATTCTGTTCTTAAAGTATCTATAAACAAAATTTGACTGAATTTTAAAGCTTCAAGCTTGATATTTTTGGTTTCTCGTCATTGACTTTAATATTGTTATATAGTTTTTACATTTTAAATTTATAGAGAGCAAAGAACCTAATACCAAATGACTATTAAAATTTATAATATGTTCTGTTCAAGAATTGGATGATTGCGTTATGTGGTTGTGAACATTGTAGAGGAAAGGTATATATAATTTATACAAATAACTTTTTAAATGTTTTGTGATTAAAAAATATAATTTAATATGTTTAGTAATTTTCTGGGACTCTCTTCCAATAGATACAAATTTCTAAAGTTGTACTTTTCATCACAACTAAAAAGAAAAATCAAATATTTTCAAAACGTTTAAATAAGCACTGTAAAGTTTGAATTTCAGTTTTAGGGTCATAGTATCAAATACTGTTACAATGTTATTTGTATGCTATATTAATAATCACCATACCAAGTTTTGTCTGTTAATTGATTTTTTCTATTTATTTTTTGATAATCGTACTAAAAATGGTTTTTTATGTTTATTTCAGGTGATGCTAAAAAACAAATCCTAAACAATATTCAAATCATCCATATGACGGCCGTCAACAAGATAGAAGGCGACTTGAAAATTGTAGGTTTTAATTAATGTTAAGATGTTACAATGTTATTTGTATGCTATATTAATAATCACCATACCAAGTTTTGTCTGTTAATTGATTTTTTCTATTTATTTTTTGATAATCGTACTAAAAATGGTTTTTTATGTTTATTTCAGGTAATGCTAAAAAAACAAATCCTAAACAATATTCAAATCATCCATATGATGGCCGTCAACAAGATAGAAGGCGACTTGAAAATTGTAGGTTTTAATTAATGTTAAGATGTTACAATGTTATTTGTATGCTATATTAATAATCACCGTATCAAGTTTTGTCTGTTAATTGATTTTTTCTATTTATTTTTTGATAATCGTACTAAAAATGGTTTTTTATGTTTATTTCAGGTAATGCTAAAAAAACAAATCCTAAACAATATTCAAATCATCCATATGATGGCCGTCAACATGATAGAAGGCGACTTGAAAATTGTAGGTTTTAATTAATGTTAAGATGAAAATAATTTATCTAATAAAATTGTATTTTCAGATAATATGGATACTTTGATAAAATTTTTTAAAAGTCAACAAGGTAGCCATGTCAGGCTGTTGGAGTACCAGGCCCGCCTCCTTATGGAATGTATGAGAAAAATTTCTAAAGTTGTACTTTTCATCACAACTAAAAAGAAAAATCAAATATTTTTTAAAACGTTTAAATAAGCACTGTAAAGTTTGAATTTCAGTTTTAGGGTCATAGTATCAAATACTGTTACAATGTTATTTGTATGCTATATTAATAATCACCATACCAAGTTTTGTCTGTTAATTGACTTTTTCTATTTATTTTTTGATAATCGTACTTAAAATGGTTTTTTATGTTTATTTCAGGTGATGCTAAAAAAACAAATCCTAAACAATATTCAAATCATCCATATGATGGCCGTCAACAAGATAGAAGGCGACTTGAAAATTGTAGGTTTTAATTAATGTTAAGATGTTACAATGTTATTTGTATGCTATATTAATAATCACCATACCAAGTTTTGTCTGTTAATTGATTTTTTCTATTTATTTTTTGATAATCGTACTAAAAATGGTTTTTTATGTTTATTTCAGGTAATGCTAAAAAAACAAATCCTAAACAATATTCAAATCATCCATATGATGGCCGTCAACAAGATAGAAGGCGACTTGAAAATTGTAGGTTTTAATTAATGTTAAGATGTTACAATGTTATTTGTATGCTATATTAATAATCACCGTATCAAGTTTTGTCTGTTAATTGATTTTTTCTATTTATTTTTTGATAATCGTACTAAAAATGGTTTTTTATGTTTATTTCAGGTAATGCTAAAAAAACAAATCCTAAACAATATTCAAATCATCCATATGATGGCCGTCAACATGATAGAAGGCGACTTGAAAATTGTAGGTTTTAATTAATGTTAAGACGAAAATAATTTATCTAATAAAATTGTATTTTCAGATAATATGGATACTTTGATAAAATTTTTTAAAAGTCAACAAGGTAGCCATGTCAGGCTGTTGGAGTACCAGGCCCGCCTCCTTATGGAATGTATGAGAAAAATTTCTAAAGTTGTACTTTTCATCACAACTAAAAAGAAAAATCAAATATTTTTTAAAACGTTTAAATAAGCACTGTAAAGTTTGAATTTCAGTTTTAGGGTCATAGTATCAAATACTGTTACAATGTTATTTGTATGCTATATTAATAATCACCATACCAAGTTTTGTCTGTTAATTGATTTTTTCTATTTATTTTTTGATAATCGTACTAAAAATGGTTTTTTATGTTTATTTCAGGTGATGCTAAAAAAACAAATCCTAAACAATATTCAAATCATCCATATGATGGCCGTCAACAAGATAGAAGGCGACTTGAAAATTGTAGGTTTTAATTAATGTTAAGATGTTACAATGTTATTTGTATGCTATATTAATAATCACCATACCAAGTTTTGTCTGTTAATTGTTTTTTTCTATTTATTTTTTGATAATCGTACTAAAAATGGTTTTTTATGTTTATTTCAGGTAATGCTAAAAAAACAAATCCTAAACAATATTCAAATCATCCATATGATGGCCGTCAACAAGATAGAAGGCGACTTGAAAATTGTAGGTTTTAATTAATGTTAAGATGTTACAATGTTATTTGTATGCTATATTAATAATCACCGTATCAAGTTTTGTCTGTTAATTGATTTTTTCTATTTATTTTTTGATAATCATACTAAAAATGGTTTTTTATGTTTATTTCAGGTAATGCTAAAAAAACAAATCCTAAACAATATTCAAATCATCCATATGATGGCCGTCAACATGATAGAAGGCGACTTGAAAATTGAAGGTTTTAATTAATGTTAAGATGAAAATAATTTATCTAATAAAATTGTATTTTCAGATAATATGGATACTTTGATAAAATTTTTTAAAAGTCAACAAGGTAGCCATGTCAGGCTGTTGGAGTACCAGGCCCGCCTCCTTATGGAATGTATGAGAAAAATTTCTAAAGTTGTACTTTTCATCACAACTAAAAAGAAAAATCAAATATTTTTTAAAACGTTTAAATAAGCACTGTAAAGTTTGAATTTCAGTTTTAGGGTCATAGTATCAAATACTGTTACAATGTTATTTGTATGCTATATTAATAATCACCATACCAAGTTTTGTCTGTTAATTGATATTTTCTATTTATTTTTTGATAATCGTACTAAAAATGGTTTTTTATGTTTATTTCAGGTGATGCTAAAAAAACAAATCCTAAACAATATTTAAATCATCCATATGATGGCCGTCAACAAGATAGAAGGCGACTTGAAAATTGTAGGTTTTAATTAATGTTAAGATGTTACAATGTTATTTGTATGCTATATTAATAATCACCATACCAAGTTTTGTCTGTTAATTGATTTTTTCTATTTATTTTTTGATAATCGTACTAAAAATGGTTTTTTATGTTTATTTCAGGTAATGCTAAAAAAACAAATCCTAAACAATATTCAAATCATCCATATGATGGCCGTCAACAAGATAGAAGGCGACTTGAAAATTGTAGGTTTTAATTAATGTTAAGATGTTACAATGTTATTTGTATGCTATATTAATAATCACCGTATCAAGTTTTGTCTGTTAATTGATTTTTTCTATTTATTTTTTGATAATCATACTAAAAATGGTTTTTTATGTTTATTTCAGGTAATGCTAAAAAAACAAATCCTAAACAATATTCAAATCATCCATATGATGGCCGTCAACATGATAGAAGGCGACTTGAAAATTGAAGGTTTTAATTAATGTTAAGATGAAAATAATTTATCTATTAAAATTGTATTTTCAGATAATATGGATACTTTGATAAAATTTTTTAAAAGTCAACAAGGTAGCCATGTCAGGCTGTTGGAGTACCAGGCCCGCCTCCTTATGGAATGTATGAGAAAAATTTCTAAAGTTGTACTTTTCATCACAACTAAAAAGAAAAATCAAATATTTTTTAAAACGTTTAAATAAGCACTGTAAAGTTTGAATTTCAGTTTTAGGGTCATAGTATCAAATACTGTTACAATGTTATTTGTATGCTATATTAATAATCACCATACCAAGTTTTGTCTGTTAATTGATTTTTTCTATTTATTTTTTGATAATCGTACTAAAAATGGTTTTTTATGTTTATTTCAGGTGATGCTAAAAAAACAAATCCTAAACAATATTCAAATCATCCATATGATGGCCGTCAACAAGATAGAAGGCGACTTGAAAATTGTAGGTTTTAATTAATGTTAAGATGTTACAATGTTATTTGTATGCTATATTAATAATCACCATACCAAGTTTTGTCTGTTAATTGATTTTTTCTATTTATTTTTTGATAATCGTACTAAAAATGGTTTTTTATGTTTATTTCAGGTAATGCTAAAAAAACAAATCCTAAACAATATTCAAATCATCCATATGATGGCCGTCAACAAGATAGAAGGCGACTTGAAAATTGTAGGTTTTAATTAATGTTAAGATGTTACAATGTTATTTGTATGCTATATTAATAATCACCGTATCAAGTTTTGTCTGTTAATTGATTTTTTCTATTTATTTTTTGATAATCGTACTAAAAATGGTTTTTTATGTTTATTTCAGGTAATGCTAAAAAAACAAATCCTAAACAATATTCAAATCATCCATATGATGGCCGTCAACATGATAGAAGGCGACTTGAAAATTGTAGGTTTTAATTAATGTTAAGACGAAAATAATTTATCTAATAAAATTGTATTTTCAGATAATATGGATACTTTGATAAAATTTTTTAAAAGTCAACAAGGTAGCCATGTCAGGCTGTTGGAATACCAGGCCCGCCTCCTTATGGAATGTATGAGAAAAATTTCTAAAGTTGTACTTTTCATCACAACTAAAAAGAAAAATCAAATATTTTTTAAAACGTTTAAATAAGCACTGTAAAGTTTGAATTTCAGTTTTAGGGTCATAGTATCAAATACTGTTACAATGTTATTTGTATGCTATATTAATAATCACCATACCAAGTTTTGTCTGTTAATTGATTTTTTCTATTTATTTTTTGATAATCGTACTAAAAATGGTTTTTTATGTTTATTTCAGGTGATGCTAAAAAAACAAATCCTAAGCAATATTCAAATCATCCATATGATGGCCGTCAACAAGATAGAAGGCGACTTGAAAATTGTAGGTTTTAATTAATGTTAAGATGTTACAATGTTATTTGTATGCTATATTAATAATCACCATACCAAGTTTTGTCTGTTAATTGTTTTTTTCTATTTATTTTTTGATAATCGTACTAAAAATGGTTTTTTATGTTTATTTCAGGTAATGCTAAAAAAACAAATCCTAAACAATATTCAAATCATCCATATGATGGCCGTCAACAAGATAGAAGGCGACTTGAAAATTGTAGGTTTTAATTAATGTTAAGATGTTACAATGTTATTTGTATGCTATATTAATAATCACCGTATCAAGTTTTGTCTGTTAATTGATTTTTTCTATTTATTTTTTGATAATCATACTAAAAATGGTTTTTTATGTTTATTTCAGGTAATGCTAAAAAAACAAATCCTAAACAATATTCAAATCATCCATATGATGGCCGTCAACATGATAGAAGGCGACTTGAAAATTGAAGGTTTTAATTAATGTTAAGATGAAAATAATTTATCTAATAAAATTGTATTTTCAGATAATATGGATACTTTGATAAAATTTTTTAAAAGTCAACAAGGTAGCCATGTCAGGCTGTTGGAGTACCAGGCCCGCCTCCTTATGGAATGTATGAGAAAAATTTCTAAAGTTGTACTTTTCATCACAACTAAAAAGAAAAATCAAATATTTTTTAAAACGTTTAAATAAGCACTGTAAAGTTTGAATTTCAGTTTTAGGGTCATAGTATCAAATACTGTTACAATGTTATTTGTATGCTATATTAATAATCACCATACCAAGTTTTGTCTGTTAATTGATTTTTTCTATTTATTTTTTGATAATCGTACTAAAAATGGTTTTTTATGTTTATTTCAGGTGATGCTAAAAAAACAAATCCTAAACAATATTTAAATCATCCATATGATGGCCGTCAACAAGATAGAAGGCGACTTGAAAATTGTAGGTTTTAATTAATGTTAAGATGTTACAATGTTATTTGTATGCTATATTAATAATCACCATACCAAGTTTTGTCTGTTAATTGATTTTTTCTATTTATTTTTTGATAATCGTACTAAAAATGGTTTTTTATGTTTATTTCAGGTAATGCTAAAAAAACAAATCCTAAACAATATTCAAATCATCCATATGATGGCCGTCAACAAGATAGAAGGCGACTTGAAAATTGTAGGTTTTAATTAATGTTAAGATGTTACAATGTTATTTGTATGCTATATTAATAATCACCGTATCAAGTTTTGTCTGTTAATTGATTTTTTCTATTTATTTTTTGATAATCATACTAAAAATGGTTTTTTATGTTTATTTCAGGTAATGCTAAAAAAACAAATCCTAAACAATATTCAAATCATCCATATGATGGCCGTCAACATGATAGAAGGCGACTTGAAAATTGAAGGTTTTAATTAATGTTAAGATGAAAATAATTTATCTAATAAAATTGTATTTTCAGATAATATGGATACTTTGATAAAATTTTTTAAAAGTCAACAAGGTAGCCATGTCAGGCTGTTGGAGTACCAGGCCCGCCTCCTTATGGAATGTATGAGAAAATAATTAAAGAATTTACATAAAATATGTTTTTTCTTTTTTCTCAAATATGTTTCTTTCAGGTTCTTGTAAATTATTTTGAACAGAAATGATTTTCATTATTTTTTCTCTAAAATTAGCTATTTTTGAGTTATAAGCGATTCAAGGTTTGAGAAGTCTCAAGTTTAATGCTTGAAATGTTTCATTAGTTACATTTTTTTAATTCGTCGAGTGTTAAAATTAATGTTTAAAATTTGGTTTATATGATGAGTATGCGATATCAAATTTGGTGAACTCTTGTTTTTCACACATTTATCATCAAATAGCACTCGTTCTTTAATAAATGTGACTAAAAATTCACAGAATAAAGTATGACTGTATCCTGATAAGATTTGAAATTTAATTTTTTATTTAGTGAACTCTTACATTCTAAAAGTAGCTGATTGATGAATTTTTTGCTAAACTGAAAGTATAGTAACCATAAAGGATAAATAAAATAAAAAAATAGCATACAGTTATATATGTTTTTTGTTATAAAAATACAGTTCATCAGATTTTATAGCTAACAATTGATATGTACAAACTGAAAAATAGATGTACAATTATCTATTATTGAGAATTTATAGTTTAACAGATTTCAGTGCTAACAATTGATGTTTTCGAATGATTTTTTTACAGTTGCATCATTGTTAAAATATAATTTGTTTAAAATTCACTGTTAATGCTTAAGTTTCAAATTTATATCTTCTATATCTTCGGTTTGAAAAGTAAAAGTATACTAAGTGACATATAAATCCGAACACCCAGTTTAAATGGTTTTATTTTAATAAAAGTTGGTAAATGTATTTATCTTACTGTAAATAACAAGTGAAAAAATTTTCAGCCTTATCAGTTGGACATTCCGGTTTTATACTGCCTTTTTTTTAATTCACTAACGCTCTAAAAATGAATATTTCAGCCGCAGTAAAGAATCAACGTTGGCGGATTTTGGTTCTTGACATCCTTTACGATCGGTTACGATGCCTAGAGTGCAAAGAAGTGTAGACACTGTGGTTAGGTGTTGTCAGGCATGGCTTCGAGAAGGCCGTACGCAAAGAGTAAAGGGCACTGGACGCCGCCGTAGAACAACAGACCGTGAAGATCGCCGCCTAAGATTATTGGCTTTAAGGGACCGTTTCTCCACTACCAGGTCCATTGCAAATGAATGGTTTGCAGAACACGGAAGACCTATTGGCATGCGAAGTGTTTACCGACGAATGAGAAGTTTTGGCTTGTTTTCATACCGGCCACACTGGGTCCTCCTTTAACTTGAGAACACTGACGTAATCGCCTTGAGTGGTGCAGACAACGGTCACTCTGGGATCAGGAATGGAACAGGTTTGTCTTTAGTGACGAGTCTCGATTTTGTTTAATCATGCACGATGGTCGTCCAGGGTTAGAAGGCGACGTGGTGAAAGGAGAAATCCACAGTTTTTTGTTGAAAGACATGTTTATCACACTGTTGAGTTATGGTTTGGGGTGCTATAGCTTATGGTTCCAGATCACCTTTAATCTTCATCAGAGGTAACTTGAACGCGCAGCGTTATATCCACGAAGTTCTAGAACCCCATCTTTGACCCTATCTTGACACCCTGACAGATCCAACTTTCTAACAAGATAATGCCCGATCACATATTGCAAGAGTCATAATAGACTTCTTTCAACATAATGATGTCACATTATTACCATGGCCACCAAGATCTCCCGACTTATCCCCAATTGAGCACGTGTGGGATATGATGGGTAGGAGATTGCTCAATTTGCAACGTCCTCCTCAGACTCTAGAAGCACTTCGAGAGGAGTTGTTGGTTGCCTGGAATGAGATACCACAGGAGGACATTGACCACCTGATCAGAAGCATGCCTAGGCGCGTTGGAGAATGCGTAGCACATCAGGGTGCATCCACACATTATTAAAGGTTAAAGGGCTTTAAAGCAGTACAATCATTTTGAAATTTTTATCATTTACTTATTATGCTTCATTAAGTACTTATACAAAATTTTATTAAAATAAAACCTTTTAGTATATTTGTTAGATTAATTAGTTTCGAGATATGAACGATACAATACCTATATCCTTGAATTATCTATAATTAAAAAAGTATCGGTTGAATTTCGACGAAACTTTTGATCATCGGTCCAGTGATAACAGAGCTAAGGATAAAAACACCAGGTAAGATGTATCTCATACTGTTGACAGCAGTATAGTTAAATGCTTCCAACGCTTAAAAGATACAATTGGGGCATTATAGAAATCAATTTACATACTATACATACATATTACAATAACAAAATTTAATAGACAATAAAGCAAAATCAAAATAAATATAATGTTCCAAGAAAAAAAATTAAAACATCTTTTCTTTTTGAGAAATGATAGGTAGAAACATAGGTAAATATAAAATAAATATAGTTTGCTTGTGTTTGTCTGATCAAGAAACAACTAACCATGGACAACTGCTATGTAACTCCCAATTGAGCACTAGTGTGAAATTGGTAATTAATTTTTAGCAGTCCATATTTTCTATACCAACTGCTAACTTTTTGATAATTGCAAAGAATTTTAAATTTCAATAACTTATCGTATCGTATCACTATTTCGTCTTTTTCATCTAGTCAGAAAAAATGACACAATTTAAATATGTAGGAAAAGTGTTCGTTTCGTTAATAAGTTGTTGTTAGCCCCATCTTTGTAAGGGCTATTGAAAGGACTAATTTCACCGCTTACATAAAAAAAATCCATTTTTTTTTCTAATCACAGAAGTAGATATCGTTCAAAAATGAGTGAAATTTTTTTCTTGTGTTAGTAGCTGTAAGGGTTTGTATTATTTTCTTTGGATCTGTTAAACAGAGTTGTTCATTCCTTTAACACGTTCGCTACCACGGGTTAAAGTTGTGTGTGTCGCCACAGACTAAATTTTTATATTGCGATATTATCATTTATAAACCGAGTTTCACGTACATTTTAGTGATTATAGGCTAAGAATACACTTTCTGAGCATTTTTGATCTGACTCATATATGAGACGTCGGTCTATGACACGACCTGGCTTGTGATCGAGCGAAGAATAGACCAAGTGTCTCATATATGAGACATCGCAAAAGAGTACATATGCAAAGTACAAAATATATTTGCATCAAAATACAAAGAGAGTAATTCTAAATATCAAAAAACATAACAGAAACAATCAAATTCTTTGGTGAAAAACATAGGACCAAAAAAACACTCGAGAAGATAGTTAGAGCCTTCGTGGTATTCCTGGAAACAATTGTCCACGCAAAGGCCAATCATTTGTCCGTCTTTATCCTTACAAATCTCACAAACGTAAAAAGTCTGTGATCTCTTTTTGTTTGCCGAGCATACTCTACATCTTCTCCGTTTGTCCTGTTTTTTTGGATAATGCTGGTTCCCTGGGGTAGTTTTGGCTTTTTCCTGGGCTTGTTTCAGGAACTCAATTACAATAATCTCTCTAAACTGAAGAAATGATAGCCTTTTTCGATTTAATTTGTTGTACAAATGTGTTGCATTCCATAGGCATATGTCCACGAAATGGAAAAACACTTTCAGGTACCACCTGACAGTTTTCCTGGGAGTAGTGTAATAGGATAACATCTGGTCACTCCTGTCAACTCCTGACATGTTCCTGTTATAGTCAATCACCACGGTTGGCTTCATTTTCTTTTTTCCTCGCTTATCGAGAAATTCATCAACATCCAGTTTATGTAATGTCGATATGAGAAGGACTTCACGCTTATCCTTCCATTTCAAAACCATGACATTCCTCTTCCTCTGGACAGTCATTTCTCCTTTGCGCAGTTTACACGAAATAACCTTCTTGGGATTCCCTTTTCGATTTTTCCTTAGAGTTCCTACCACATGAGTCTTACGCGTATGGAGGAACTCTGCCAGCTTCACACTATTGTAGTAGTTGTCCATGTACAACGTATGACCCTTATCAAGGTAAGGCTCACAGAGTTTCGTAACTACTGAATGAGCGTGACCTTCATTCCCGTCGACTGTTCCTTTGCCAGTATATACCAAACAATCAAGTATGTAACCATCAGGAGTGCAAAGTTCATATAACTTTATTCCGTGTTTTGCACTTTTGTTTGGAATGTATTGACGGAATAGCAATCGCCCACGTCAAAGTAATAAAGCTTCATCTAGCGAGATATCTTTGCCGGAATAATAGACTTTCTGTATGTTTTCTCTAACGTGGTTCACAACCTGTTCGATTTTGTGTAAACGGGATGTTCTTTCATCTTCTCTCTTATAAAAACACAAGCACCTCAAAATCTGTTCAAATCTGTTTCTTGACATTACTCTGCCAAAAACTGGATGGGCATAGAGTGGCTTAGTATTCCAGTAGTGCTTGATGCTGGGCATTTTTATTTGTCCCATTAGAATGCAAAGTCCAATAAAACGGCGGAACTCTTCAGAAGAAAGTGGCTTCCACCTGTTCATTGTAGAATGCTTCTGTAATACATTTCCCACAATCTCCATTGTCCGAAGATTAGCCCAATCACACAGTTTCCCGATTAGAGTGTCATCAAACAGAAGCCTAAATACCTCACATGCAGAAGAATCTGCCGGAATATTCACTTTTATACCTTCAATTCCCGTAAAGTCATGAATTTTTGGTTGGTCGTTGATCTCTGTCCAACATGAAATATCTTCGGTCGTGGCTAGCCTTTCGTTGGCTGGTGGATTGCGTGAACCGTTTTCACGGCTATCACTAACATCAGAATGTTCATAGTCCTCACCACTAACTACATTTTCATCACTGGAGTCCGATTCACATGATGGATGGTAACTACTGCCAGAGTCTTGAAACGGTTCTTCAGGCGTTTCCTCATCACTTGGTTCGTTCATAATTGCATCGACCTCAGCTTGAAGCTCATCTGCTGTCAGAGGACGTGACATCATGTAGGACACCTGTAATTCAATTTTGAAGGGATGTTGAATCTTAGGGTATTACTCACATTGCTTACTTTCACGTAATAACAATAAAATATAAAGGATTATCCACAGCAAACAAAGGAGCTCAATGTAGTCGCGACCGGGACCAACAGACACGATATTCTTTTACACACTTTCAACAGATCATATGGTACTTAACCTAAAAAACAGGTGTTCTGATAACATAACCTATTGTTTCAATTTGTTCAGTATTTATGTCGTTTCAGTTGTCTGGCATGCTCTACAGTCCAATTATAAAAGCTTTATAAAATAAAACTACTTACGTAATGAAAAAATATGGAGCCAAAGCAACGCACGTGTTGTCACATAAACATTCCCACCAAAACTACAATTTTTTTCCAAGAAATGAAGGTCCACAAAAAGTAAACATCAATTAGGTAAGTTTGGCGGTAAGATTGACCTGAAAAGTATAATAAAGTATATAAGAAAAAGTTTTTAATGAGAAATTGACAGGTAAAAGAACAGATAGTTATAAGATAAATGTGTGGTTTGGTTTTGTCTATCCGATCAAGAAACAATCAACTGTGAGCAGCTGTTTCGTAGTTTTTGGGTACGTTTTAGCGTTTAAGGTTTCTCGGAATATTGCTGGAAATATAACGACAGTACAATGTACATATTGTGTTATCTGTTGAAATATCTATCGAGGAAACCAAGTCACATACACTATCTCACACACACACACGTGAACTCTAAGGCCCGTATCGTCAGTCGTCCCTATAATTATAGGGCGCCTTTATGGCCTCCTTGATTATCATAGTTTTCTACTTCTCCGTGTCAGAACACTATTTTGAGGTCAAGTCACAAACATCTATTTGCATCAAATTGTGCTTGCTTTTGAGTTATATCATGTTTTATCAGCCTGAAATTTCCTACAATTTAAAAAGAAAACATTATCTTCACAATTGGAGAGCGGTGACGCTGACACGGGTCAACTGTAATCTAGAAATTTTTGAAGGAGAGAAAGCAGTATGACAATCAAGGAGGTCATAAACGCACCCTACAATTGTAGGGACGACTGATGATACGGGACTTAATGACGACGATTCTAGTTGTGAAATAAATGTGGTCTATTTGTCATTGAAAAAAATAATAAACGTGCTTTGATTTCTTTCGAGCGATGAGAAAAAGACAACCATGGACAAATATTTAGTGTTTTTTGTTTATGCATGCTCAAGGTTTAGATTTTGTCGGACAGCGAATGAAACCACATCATCTAAACACTATACAATGTGTAATCTGTCTTGAATCAGACAACGTGCAACATGGCCATTTAACAGTTACGTGACGATTGGATTTCCTTCGCGAATTAAGATCTATATAATGCTAGAGTTGGAAAGCTAGATTTCAATGTTTTACTAGTAGTAGATGTTACTTTACACTTTCTAAATCATGCTCTTTGTACAGTTTATAGCTGATGTATAGATTCGTACGTTATCAGACACAATCTAAGTTTAGACGAAGCTAAGGAACTAACAAAAAGTGCGATACAATTGTTCTTGGTTGATAGTTTCACATGCTGTATACAGCTAGAATTGTGTAGCGATTATGAGGTAACTGGACTTCCTTCGCAAAGTAAGATCAATACGATTCTAGTGGTCAATTATAATGGTAAATAGCATTTTACGCTGTCTTATTTTAATGAGTACATATGTTGACACCATCAGCGTTTTTCATATTACAGACATCTTGCAAGACAGATCAACTTCTATATTAAAAAGAATCAGGCTTTTTGAAGCTCAGTATTAACCAAGGTAACTTACCGATGAGGAAAAATTCCATTTACTGTCTCAATCTTGGATAGCCTCAAAGTTGTTGTTGTTGCGTTCAAGGTGCTTATCAAAATGACATGCTGTTCCACCATTTTTATGAATTATCATTTAGTTGCATCGTTTAGTTTATAAGATCCATGGCTGCTCAAATTATGTTCTGTAATGTAAATTTACAGACATACAAACTGACTGTTAATTCTCAATACAGACAACACACTTATGACAATACTCAAAACTAATGTTATTAACAATATAACGCGTACGACGTTGTTAAATAGGTTATATTGATGGCAGAAAAGCAAAAAACTTTTTGGTCTTCAACCATTTTCAATGATAGATTTTTTAAACTTGCTCTCTATAAAGAAACGATGCTCAACAACAATCCAGTTTCGGAAAACGCTTGGTGGGATGCAACTGATTAGTTCATAGTGATGATGCCAGAAATGCAATAAAGTTTTTGTCTTTGGCCATTTTTACAAATAGATGTTTTTTTAAATGTCATGTACAAATAAACGGGAATAAAAAACGGGAGGTACCGGACTTGCTGTCGATGTGTTAATAAACATCTAAACATTTTTCAGAGATGTTTCGATGAAATTTTGGGAAAATATTTCACAAGAGCATCGAAATTACCGATAATGTTTCTTGAAAGCATGTTGTCTTAAAATCTAAAATTCGTATGAGCGTTTTTTTGATATTTCAATAAAATAGCCTGATTCCGAAGGAGGTTATTTATTGGCAACACGCTTGAATTGATAATTATAAGGTTTATTTTGATGCATCAGTGCAGTTTGGTTGATTGTTTACTAACTTGCAAAATTGATATTTATGCTTATCAAAATGACAAATGGAAATTTCATCAACCGTAACTGTAAATACGGATGTATAGGATAATTTTCGATACATACTGGACAATCTACTGGATAATTTTATAATAATTTCACACTTTTTATGACAATTTTTATGTATGGTAAATATATTTACGATAAATTGTCCATTCTCAATTCTAATTGTATTTTTTACAAAATGTTTTTCGCATAAATTGTCATATTCAGTATGATAATCTTCCATGCTTAATTTCTTTAATTGCCCATAAATTCTGTAAATCGTCAGGTAACATCTGATACCTATGTCGCTAATTAGCAATGAATATTAGAAATAGAACAAAATATTCGCCATTTTGTAAGTTTCCAAGTTCTCAAGTTTTATGTAGGCTTCATCATCATATTTTAGAGATACAATGTCTGAATTCTCTTTATATTCTTTTTGAAGCAGTTTAGTTTTCGTCAAACGTGTATTTAGTCTATCGGAAAAGTCGCTTCTTACCTGCTGCTAACAGCTGAGCATCTTTTGACCTCGTTGTAACTCAATATTTAATTATACCTCATCACAATGTTCAAACTTGGTCATTCTCGTATCTAATTCCATTAGTGTCTTGTCTACTAAGTAAAGGCACACTTTTTATCCATTTTTATGATGTAGTATATTTTCTGGCGAGGTAAACAGTACCGGCAACTATAAAATATAAAAATGTTTATGATTGAAATAGTCGTATATGTGTAAGGCTAAGAGAAAAATATAATGTAAGTTGTAATTTCTCATATATTGTATCAATTAAAAATCCGAACTTACTACTACGTCTCTGCATATTTTTCCAAGAAATGAAGGTCCACAAAAAGTAAACATCAATTAGGTAAGTTTGGCGGTAAGATTGACCTGAAAAATATAATAAAGTATATAAGAAAAAGTTTTTAATGAGAAATTGACAGGTAAAAGAACAGATAGTTATAAGATAAATGTGTGGTTTGGTTTTGTCTATCCGATCAAGAAACAATCAACTGTGAGCAGCTGTTTCGTACTTTTTGGCTACGTTTTAGCGTTTAAGGTTTCTCGGAGTATTGCTGGAAATATAACTACAGTACAATGTACATATTGTGTTATCTGTTGAAATATCTATCGAGGAAACCAAGTCACATACACTCTCACACACACACACACACGTGAACTCTAAATGACGACGATTCTAGTTGTGAATTAAATGTAGTCTATTTGCCATTGAAAAAAATAATAAACGTGCTTTGATTTCTTTCGACCGATCAGAAAAAGACAACCATGGACAGAATCACCCTGTACTTCCCTGAGTTTTTTGCAAAATTATACCCTTAAGATGTACTCCTATGAGGTCTATAATATATTTATGTGAGATTGTTGGTGGCACAGTTCTTCGTTTGGATTCTACTATTTATTTTGATTTCGAGAGATCTACACTTGAATGCGCAGAATCACCCTGTAATCCCTGTTTTTTTTGCAAAGCTATGTCATCAGGTTGTACTCCTACAAGTTTTTTACAAACTTTATGAGTTTGTTGGTGGTACAGTTCTTCGTTTGGGAAAAATTCAACAGAAGCAGATGAACAATGCTCGCTTTATGATCTGGAGAAAAATGTGCTATCGCTTTAAAATAAAATTTCCTCTATTTTTTTTAATGTTGTATGATTATGATCAATCAATTAGAAACATGACATATAATAATAACATCTAAAAAAATTAGACCAGAAGCTTGAAATTATTAAGTACTATAGTTGTTGGACAAGTAATAGTATCGCTTGAAAATCAAATTTTGTAATCTGTTTCCTCTGATTCAATAATGAATTTTTTTGTAATCTATGATTAAGATCAGTCTTAGAAACAGGGCAGATATGAATATCCGTGAAATTAGACATATAATAATAACATCTTTAAAAACAGAATAGAAATTTGAAATCATCAAGCGCTATAGTTTTTTGACAAGTAATGGTGTCTGCTGTTTTGACAAGTCTTGGAAGTCACATTGCTAATTCGTTGTGTGTAATCTAAGATATTGTAAACATTGTTCATAGTGGGTATGAATTGCTCTTTAGGCAGTAAAAGACTTGATAATTTTTTTAAAAGTTTGGTAGAAGATATGATCATCAATGTTATTTTGCAGCGCTTTGCATGTTCCTTCCAAGGGATAGATCCTCCTATCTAATAGCAACTTCTCAAAATAATGAAGCACCGTTAGCCAGCTAATAGGTCTGCATATTTAGATAAATTGAACTGAGGGTCAAGACTGAACTCTTACTGAACTTCATAGAAGTGATTGACTACTTACGTTTGCCATAGAAATACATACACTGTAAACACTTCACAACACTTTCACTATTTGTAGTTGCGATTGCTTGTTCTAAGCTTCTAATTAATCCTTATTAACGGGAGCCTCATTATTAAGATTTCGATAATGTTTACATTCATACGTTGTAGGTTAGAAATAGGAGGTGATGCAATCAGACATACGCTTTATATCAATCGGTTGGAAAAGCGGAGCTTAATGCCATATTGTAAAATTATAACATGAATAGGGGCTTACAATCATATTTTTATCGTATTTATAAACCGATGATGATTTCAATAAACTGCTAAACGTCAAAGAGTAATTGCAGCCTCTGGCGGTAAACATCGCAATCTGTAAACATAAAAAACTACCAGATTCATACGATTTTAATGGCTATAGTCCGGTCCGTTTAGACAATGGAATATAGAAATTTTGAATCTTTTCGAAAATGTTTATTTTCACGCGTAAAAAAGGACAATGGTATTCGGCGTGATTCTATATTCGATGAAGCGACCGACATAAAGCCGAAAATAGCACGTTTCGGACGTTTCGCTCGCACTCGCTCGCTTTCGTAATACGATCGTATCTACAATACCCCGCCTAACAGGAATCCGGGGATCTGGAGCGGAATTTCAAAATTGAAACGTCAAACTAAAAATGTGTGCATATCTTTGAATTTTCTAATCTGCCGAGTTTAAAAAATGCGATCGGGTAACTTATCAAAAAGTGTGCAATAGAAATGGCGAAACAATTCAATGAATTAAAAGTTGCCGAAAAATTTGAAACAGTCTCAGTATCGCATCAAACAATTGCAAGACCATATCAATGAACATGTATCCAAAAAATTGCGTGACGTGTTTGAAAAATGTAAATATTTTTCGCTATGCCTGGATGAAAGCACTGATCTGTCTGACATTAGCCAGCTTGTAATTTTTATCCGAACTATTCAAGACGACTTCAGTGTAGCAGAGGAGATGCTTGACCTTATTCCTCTCCATGGTACAACCAAGGGTACAGATATTTTTGAAGCTGTGAATAAGTTGATGTGAGACTACGGGGGATTTGATAAATCTTCCTGTATTGTCACTGATGGCGCCAGAGCTATGACATGGACTGAAATTGGATTTGCAGGACTATTGAAACAAAACAGCATCAACCAACTATCCTATGATACATTGTATTGTTCACCAAGAGAGCTTATGTGGAAAATCTTTACGTCAAATAAATGTCATGAAAGTGGCTGTTAAAATAAGTAATATTGTTAGAGGAGGCAATCGTGCTTTGACTCAGAGAAAGTTTCGTGATTTTTTGGCCGAAGTGGATGCTACATATGGGGACTTGTTACTTCACACCAATGTTCGTTGGTTAAGCGTCGGAAAGTGTTTTCCTTAAAAATGAAGTGAAGTCCGACACTACGGAACTGGAAAATCAAATGGCAGATGCACAAATTTTAGCAGACCTTGCAGTTTTAACAGACATGACATCTCACCTTAACGAATTGAATTTGAAGCTACAAGGAAAACAGCAGAATATTGCCAACTTATTTGGACACATAAATGGGTTTAAGAATAAAATTAATCTTTTCAAGTCTTCATTACAAAAAAATGATTTTTCAGTTTTTCCAAGTTGTAAAGAACATTTCGAAGAAATGAAGGATTTTGAGGAAGTTTCATATCGTCGACTTAATCGGCAAAATGCGTAACTCCACATTTTTGAGAAAATTACATTTTGGTGCCATCTAGTAGTAAATAGTACAACCCATCTTTAGGAAAAACAGCCTATATCCAAAGCTTTATTCGTTTCTTTGTAATACGCAAAGTAGAAAACGGCCTATATCCGTTCCCGCCAATTTCAGTCGGCAAAATGCGTAAATCCCAGAACGTGTAATAACGCTTACGGTGAACACGTGCATCTGCGAATTTACAGCTTGGTGCAAGTGATAGTGGAATCTATATTTCCATAAAGGGCTTTTGAAAGGTAAGTACAACTTCCAGATTATTAGAATCAGTATTTTTTAATGATAATTATAATTATACAAGGTGATATGAGTTAAACTTTGTATTTCAGGGAGTTACGCATATTTCCCATAATATATTTTTAAAGTAGATATTTGGTTGTATAGGAGATACGTATTTTTATTTTCAATCATTAAGAAGGGACATTTTTTTTTCTAGATTATGGCGAGACGAATTGACAGAATCTTCGATGCGTTGAAGTCTACTACCAGCTATGAACCAGTAAATGAAAAAAATAATAACTACGACCTATCGAAGGCTATTCAGGATGCTGAAATAATATTTTCAGACGCTGCTGGTAAGCACTAATAAGACCTTCCCAATATTGTATGACCTTTTCGTAAGTACTTTTGCACAATAGTAAATTCATAGCTAATAATGTAAGAATTGAGTACCAGGTGATTCATTCCAAATATAACAAAAACATTGTTGCGTTTTATGCGGCGTTTGGTGACTTTTTATCTACAGTCTTTGCAGTTCGTGCTTTATTATAAATGGAACGTGTCCATTGTATTAATTCCAAATAACCTGCGAAATCTTTGAAGATTGTTAATTGATTGATTAACAGATAATATGACCACTTTTTAGTCTTACGTTCGGTCTTTTTTCAGGCGAAGACTACAGTGCTGTTGGAAATGTGGATTCAGTAGAAGCGCAAAGTGCTAGCGAGTGCAATAGTGAATTTGTAGACGCACAAATTAGCGATTTTGTAGTTGATGGAGAAGTCAGAATGATGATGGAAGACGCAAGTGGTAAGAGCCTTAAATGAGATTCTTTATATTTATTTCTGACCATCTAACTTTTTTAAGATGAAGCTGTGGCTCCAATTCAGTTGAGTATTGTTGAAATTGGCCAACGTGATTCCATTTTCGATGAAATACCTTCCTGTTCAGGAATACAATCCACTATTATTGAAAATCTAACTGTAGAAGATTGTGAGAGCTCCGACTTAGATGAGTCTGATCATACGCCTTGTACTAAACTATCGGATAAGATATTAGAAGACGAAGGACCCCGTCGGAAGCGTTCAACAAAGTATGAAGTAAACAAAAATAAATGGCATGAAAACAAGAATCGAATTAAAAGAGAAAAGGGAGAATCATACGTAGGGAAAAAAAAGGAAAATGGGATGTGGAAATATGACATTTTAAAGGAACCGAGATCACTAAAGGATGTATGTCGTTGTAAACTAAGTAACAATCAAAAATCTGTTTTAAAATGTAGAGAATTGACTGAAAATGAGAGAAAAAACATTTTTAAGGAATTTTGGCAATACACTTGGGCAGAAAAGAGGGTTTTCGTAAAAAATCACGTTTCCATAAATTATACTATAAGAAAACGGGGAATTAGGGACGTTTCAAGAAGATCTTATTCAAACAGATTCTTTTTGGGCAAGGACAGACCAAGGGTTTGTAGAACGATGTTTCTTAATACGTTAGGAGTAAAAGAGTGGGTTATAAAAAAATGGGCCAAAAGTAACTTGGAAAATGGTTATAGAAAGGATGAAGATAATGTACAGCCGAATAAAATACGTGACAGTACTACTGCACCTACTCGTTCGCTGCATGACTTTTTCGACTGTCTACCGAAGCTGGAATCGCACTATTGCAGGGCTTCCACATCCAAGCTCTATTTAGAGCCAACTTGGAATTCTAAGGCTCACTTATATAAAATTTACAAAAGCGACTACTGTACTACACATAACGTTGAACCTGTATCGATTGCAACATTCCATAAAGAATTCGACAAAAAACGACTATCACTCTATAAACCAAAAAAAGATCTATGTGACACTTGTGTTGCTTTTGAGACAGGCAATTTAACAGAAGATAAGTACAATGAACACATTGCATTCAAAAATGCAGCAAGAACTGCAAAGACCGTAGATAAAGAGTCTCCAAACGAAGTTTTTACAATGGACCTTCAATCCGTTTTGCTATCCCCAAAATCAAACACGTGTGCACTGTATTATAAAACTAAGCTGATTGTCCACAACTTCACCCTCTATGACATCAAGCGCAATCAGGGCTACTGTTATTTATGGAATGAAGCGGAAGGAGGACTAACTAGTAATGAGTTCACAAGCATAATAATACATTTTTTAGAAAGACATATCGATCAGTTTGGATTACAAAATCGTAGTGATATTCAAATTATATTATGGAGCGATGGTTGTGGTTATCAAAATAGGAACGCCACATTGGCAAATGGCCTATACAATCTCACATTGGAGAGGGGAGTTACTATTGTGCAAAAGTATTTGCAGAAAGGACATACCCAAATGGAAGTGGACAGTGTCCATTCTGTAATTGAAAGGAAAACCCGAAATAAGAAAATCAATATTCCAGCAGACTACGTCTACATCTGCAAAACGGCATGTCAAAAGGCTCCTTATAGAGTTGAGTACCTAATGCACGATTTCTTCAAAAAATACGATGAGCTGAAATATTTTAATTCTATCAGACCCGGAAGATCTGCTGGTGCACCATTGGTAAACGATATTAGAGCATTGAGATACTCTCATGAGGGAGTGTTTTTCAAACTCAATCACTCTGATCAAAAATGGCAAATTCTTCCAGTCAGGCTAAACACAAAGACTAACAACGCCACCAATGATGCAAACGACTTACCCAAACTCTATAGAAATAGGATAAAAATTAAGGCAGAAAAGTATAAACACCTTCAAAGTCTAAATTCAACCATGGAAGTCGATTATCATGCCTTCTATGATAATTTACCCCATGATTGAATAAATCGTAGATAAGCACAATCCGATTTTGTTTTACTTTTATGAATACATGTGTTTTCTTCCTTAAGCCGCTCTATTAAGCACAATCTGAATTATGTTTATATTTTTATGAATAAAAATTGTATTTTTCCTGAGTAGCTTCATTTGTTACTGTTCAAATATCCCATATGAGGAACCCCTATCTCCAGGTTTTTGGCTGAATATAAAAAAGAAAACTGCCTATCTCCTTTTTTTATCATAGTAAATGATCTATGCTAAAATATTGTCCAAGCATATAGTTTTTAGCTGCTACAAGACACTTTCTGATCGTTTAACACAGTCATTCTTGTGAAAAATACTACAGTTCAATCTGATGACGTTTTTTGTGTCTCCTGTAAAATTTATAGAAACGGAGATACGCATTTTGCCGATTAAGCCGACGATATTTACCTCAGTAGATATGAGGCTGCATTGGGCGCCCCCCACCACCTCCACTTTTTGGCCACGCCCACCACATCCACCGCGCGCTCTGATTGGTGGACGCTCACCGCGCGGGAAATTTGAACGTTGATGAACAGGTGCCCTGGTGACCCAGCCGGTTGTGGGATGGACGGAAGGTTAGCGCGCGGAGTGACCTTGAGCAGATAACCGTTGAACAGCTGTGACCGGCATCGGTGTTCGGATGTAATTATAGTAAGGTATACAGGGAAGAATGTTAAGAGGTAGCTGGAGCGAAAAAGATGGCGGTTGATGGTATACAGAGTGATTGAAGAATGTTAAGTGTGGTATACAGGGTAAAGAATGTACAGGGCGACTGGAGCGTAAAAAATGGCGGTTGATGGTGATGAGTCAAAAGGTTGGGAGCGAAAAAACAATGGTCGTAAATATGGCGTATGAAAGTGACCCAGCCGGCTGCGACGCCCCCACCGCGCGCGGGGAATTTGATGGCGTTGATGGACGGTAGATAAGGTTAGCGTTCAGCGGTGTTGTCTGATGCAAGAGGAGGGCGGGCAGGCTATCAACGGTGACCTTGAACACGGTGCAATAGATGGTAGGTTATCTCTCTCTTAGACGTGTTCAGAGTTAAAAAAGTGGTGGGGGAAAATCGAGATTATAAATACCTAGCAATTACCGCAAATTATCTTGTCAGTTATCGGCAGCGAACAGACGTGCTCAGATAATCGGGCTTAGTCACTAGTTAACGTTTAGTTTTTTTTAAAATGGAAAAAGTCTACATCGTTAAGGATTCTACTAAGAAAGATTAAAAGATTTAAACTATATGGGCGACAAGTGGAATTTAAAATAAGACCTATCCCTAAAAATGTCGAACCTGTAGGATGGATCAAAGACGCTCTGGAGGAAATAGTAGCCAAAGGAACTGAACATCTCCAGCCCAGTGATCAAGTTGGATTCACTTTCTGTTCCAAAGACTTTACCCGCGGTCAAGGATGGATAGCTTTTAAATCGTTTTCAGACGTTTCAACTGAGGACATATGGGAGAAGATATCTTCCATCTATCAGTCAAATTCTGTGGGGTTGAATACCGAGACTTTTTGCTTGGGAGTTACGTCCGTAAGGTTGCCTGCTGGTCGTGGTAGAGGTCAGAATTACAATACTTTTGATGAGGAATGCGCCAAAAGAAAAGGCATTATCACCGTTAAAAACACCGATAATTTGTGTCTCCCACGAGCCCTTGTCATCGCCATGGCCCGTTTGAACAAAGACAAAGATTATATCAGAATCCGCCTCGATCGAGGAAAAATACAAGGACAAAGAGCTGTACAACTTGTGGAAAAGGCTGATATTGTTATCCCTGAGGAGGGGTGTGGAATACCTGAACTTCAAAAGCTACAACGATATCTGCAAAACTACAAAATTGTTGTATACAAGTTTAGATGCAAAGGTCGTGACGTTATTTTTGAAGGCGTGTCCACTGGTCCGACGCTTAACCTAATCTATCACGAGGGGCACTACAACGTCATAACATCTCTCACTGCTGCCTTTTGCTGCAGCCACATCTATTAAAACTGCGTTTTGAAAAACAAATCTATTCATATGAAACATAAATGAAACGGAAAGTTATATAATTATATTTTCAAGCCAATGTCTTCCTCAGCACAATCACACAACTCTGGATCTACATCGTCGGATTCCGGGCATGTTTCTTCCTCGTCTCCTGTTGGATGTCTTCCTTCATTTAGTAGGTTCTTGTACCAAGCGAAGGTTTCATTATCTTCCCAGTCTTCTTGATACTTTTTTAATAGGGTTTCAACGTTTTCAAGCTTAATTTTTTTAATGCTATTGCGCAGTTCAATTTGCTTAGGTTGGTAATTTTCTAATTTCGCACCTCGTTTCAAGTAGTTCTGATACTTTGTATAGTTGTCTGTTCTGTAGAAGACTTCTAATTTTGTCAAACACTTTTCACGAACCCTTTTCAAATGAACTCGCTTTACTTCTTGTATACCACTGATTTTCTTGAATTTTGTACTAGAAAAATCCTTCCAATCCAACAAGTCCCAATCTTGTCCCATCACTTTAACATTCCCAACTTCTCCAAAGATATTCCAGTATTCTTCCTTAGTGGTAATTTCAGACCGCTTTCTGCAGATCTTCTCTATCCGACCGAATACTCTCTCTGCAGGTAGATAAGAATGACCTCTCACCGGAAATACAGGACCACCTCTTCAATATGTTTAGGTGCCTTAGTGGAAAGCCAAAACATCAACATGTGGATGATAAAAGAATTTTTATTTTGTCCTCCGCATCCATCGGCGAATAGTCTAACTAATTTACAACTATCTGGAAACTCGATCAAAATGCGGTTTTTTGTTTGTCTTTTTGTGTTAGTCAGCAAACGATAAGGACCAGATTTCAGCAGGTTAGTGTAGCCATTTCGTTGTCTCTGAAATTTGAGGTGGTATGTTTGGCTTAGCATTCCAATTCTCCATTTACGCACCTTAAAAAAACGTCTTTATCTCAAAACGTTGAAATTTCAAAGACTGCAGTTTGCAGATCATCTCCTCAAATATTAATGTTAATATTGATGGATTAGTATTAGAAAACCAACATCCTCAAATGTCCCACTGATTTTTTTGTATTTTCATATTTTTTTAATAAATAAATATAATAGAAATGTATATACCTATATACCATATAGTATAGTATACAGGGTGTCCCAGAATATGTAAATCAAATTGCAATAGGAGATACCTTAGATAATGAGCTCTCAATTGCGGTACAGACCTGACAAAAAAAGTGTAACCTTTGCGTTAAAACAAAAAATCAGTTTTTTTGAAAAAGTATGACTTTCGTAAAACTTTCGACGACAGGTGCCGCGTTTAGGGTTTATTTTCATTTTTTTTACTATTATTATTAGCGAATGATTGAAGCATGAAACTACAAACAGTTTTATTCTAAAAGTCACGTTATTTTGAAATCGCAGCGCTATTTTGGAATTTTTTTCTGCATCAAAAATGTTCTTGTAAGTTCGACTAACAGTGGTATAAGAAAAATGTATGGGACTTGTTTGGCAAACCTCTCCCAAAAATAGCCCAGTTAATGAAGATTCGACAATGGTACAAATCAGGTAATTTACCTCAACAGAGTAGGAGAATAAAAATTCTTAGAGTGCAAGGGCGAAATTGGTCAAATTTCAAAATTACAATTTTTAAATCATAATTGCCTGTACGTTCAAACCATTGCGTGAAACCTTAGAATCGGCATCAAAAAGTTGTTTCAATGTCCGGTAGACTGAACAAAACACATGCTAGCTCGCTCAAGGTCGGCTAAAATTGTGTTGTCGCACTTATTCCCAGAATTTAAGAAGGGGGCAGAGGCAGGCAGCGCAGGTAAAAACTGGATCGTAATAACAATACTGCCTCACTCTAGCGTTTTGTGTTATTAGTGATGTTGATGGAACGGGCCCCCCGCGGCGGCGCGATGCTGATCTCACTCTCATCCTTGTTATTCAGTTCGACGTTTGACGCTCTGTGCTAGACCTGTGTTCTAATGTCTCCTGTGATTTAACTGTTACGATCTTGGCTCTACTGTAGACTTTGAACATTTTTTGCTCGTGATTCGGATTTGTTTGATGAATCTCAACGACTTGGCGCTACTGTGGAAATTGATTTTCTGCACATTATGGCTAATCGACGACCAGATGAACATTCTTACACGGCAAGCGAGTATGCTGACATGCATCTTGTTTATGGAGAAACAAGGCGTGTTAACACTAGAGGCGGAGCAAGTTATTCTGCCAGGGAAGCTGCCAGGATTTACGCTTAGCGGTATCCGAACCGTCAGCACCCAGCTTATGGAGTATTTTTAAGAGTACACGACGCTTACTCACATGGTCGATTTCCTGGTGGTCCTCGTAGTGAAGGAAGACCTCGGAGACATAACGACGATGTTGTTGTAGAGCACGTAACAACGGATCCGTCGACGTCGCTGCGCGCTATTGAACGAAGAACTGGCATTCCAAGATCATCGGCACACAGAATACTGCAAACGTTAAGATACCATCCGTATCACGTGCAAAAAGAGCAGTCTCTTTTAAATAGAGATTATGCACCGCGTGTACAATTTTGCCGAAAAATGATCGAGCTAAGCCGAGAAAACCCCAACTTTTTTAATCGAGTTTTATGGAGTGACGAATCCACCTATAAGACAGATGGTTACATAAATTCTCCACAATCTACATAGCTGGCAAATGTCAAACCCTGATTTAATAAGAGAGGACCGTTCTCAGTACCCGTTCAAAATCAATTTATGGACTGGGATTTTTAACGGCAGAATTGTGGGTCCAGTGGAATTACCTGCAACATTAAATTCGGCAAATTATTTAGAACCATTGAGAGACACATTGCCGAGACTTTTAACAGAAGAACCAGAGGATTCAATACAAACAATGTGGCTACAAAATGACGGATGCCCAGCCCATTTTGCACGCGAAGTGAGGGCCTACCTTGATGAGGCTTTTCCTATGCCGTGGATTGGCCGTCTGGGGCCAATTATATGGCCACCAAGGTCGCCAGACCTAAACCCTCTAGATTTCTCTTATATGGGTTGCCTCAAAGATAAAATTTATTCGCGACCGAACACACCGATTGGGTCCCTGGAAGAATTAAAAGAGCGTATTAACACGTTGAGTGCGCATGACGCACTGATGCGTCGACCTGCGTATTCAAGCCACGCGCATGACGCACCGGTGAGTCAGCTCCGCCGTTAAACATAACCGGCAGTAGTATTTCAGCACTTGTCGAGAGGAAACTATTACGAACGGAGCACGTACAGAAAGGTTCAGTTTACGTTAAATTGGCGTAGTTTCAAAATTTGATTATCAGTTATTTGATTATACATAGTGAATCATGAGTGACCCAAAGCTGTGTGAAGCAAGTACTTCAGGTACAAAAAGACGTAAAATTCAAGTCAGAAATGAGAATAACCTTACAGATGAAGAACTCTTACGTATTCTTGAAGATTCGGATATCGACTTGGATGATTCCGACATCGAAGGCTCTTACATCCCCAGTGAGATTGATTCATCTTCAGAGGACGATTACGGTAAGATTTATATTAAACATATTTTTTGTATCAGTGTGATAATTTAATAATTTTTGTTTTAGATATACCTCCTAATGATGATACTGTTGTTCCGCCTGATGACTCTAATGTAACAACTGCGTCTGACGATTTGAATGAAGTTTGGAGCGATACTTGTGCCGGAATGAAGGACATTAATTTTACAAAAACACCCGGTTTCCTGATTGATTTTGATCTAAACGCAAGTCCTTATGATTATTTTAGATTGTTATTAGATGATGATTTACTGGAACTTATTGTCGATGAAACAAATAAATATGCGGAAACAATTCACGAAAATCTGGTTGGAAAAACGTTACCAAAGATGAGCTATTGCAATTCATAGGACTTACGTTTCATACAGGAACCATCAAATGCAATGTCTTGAGAGATTATTGGAAAACGCACTATCTGTTTGGGATTACATGTTTTTCAAGATATATGAGCCGAGATCGTTTTTTTCTCATTTTGCGAAGTTTGCATTTTGCTGAAAATCCTGGTGTAGGTGAAAATGTGCCTGAAGATCGTTTATACAAAATTCGTCCGCTGCTAAATTACTTTCTGTCTTTAGACAGTAATTGAAAAATAAGCGACATAAATATGGTATAAAGCTATAGGGTAAGGTTGCCTATATTGGACCGGCTCCTTAATTGGACCTTTGCAGATTTGAGCGAACCGACAACAAGTGGTGCCATCCGTTAATACCAACTAGAACTACATCCCGAAAACTGCTAGAGTTTCAACACGTGTGCAGCTGTAAACAACGGTTAAGAAAATATAAGTGTTTTCGACATTATTTAACTTTCGATACAAAGATACTACTACTTACCGTTCAAGTAAGTAATCACAACATTTATAATATCTTTATTTCTCAAGATTCATTAAAGAGGCCATAGTTTAGGGATTATTTTCGTGACCTAACCTCCAAATTGGTAAAACCTGTTGTGGGTGAAATTTGATATTGTTTAGTTTTAGAACAAGGTTTCCTAAATTGGACCAGCAATTGACTTGTAAATTGGACCGGTCCAATTTAGGCAACCGTATATTGTGAATTAAACCAGTCCCATTTAGTTCTTGATAGATTTTTTTTTCAGAATGTCATCACGTGGCAAATACGGCAAGTGGAGCACAGAAGATTTGAGCAGTGCTATTTCCGCTTTTCCTAATGGTTCTTATGGGCTGAATGAATGTGCAAGGTTGTTTAAAGTACCTAAAACTACACTAAAAAGACATCTCGAAGAGAAAAACAAACGTGCAAATAATGCAATTAAAAAAATGGGCAGGTTTAGTGTATTTAATGAAGAAGTTGAAGCAGAATTGGCTAAGCATATTTTGATTTTCGAAGAGCGAATGTTCGGGATGGGCATACGAGACGTCCGCAAACTGGCATTTGAATTGGCAACAAGAAACAATTTGAAACACAATTTCAACACAGATAAACGTATGGCAGGTAAGAAGTGGTATTATGGCTTCATGTCAAGACATAAAGAAATATCGGTACGGCAGCCGGAGAAGACATCAATGGCAAGGGCTGCAGGATTTAGCAAAGCACGAGTTGATAAATTCTATGAGCTTTTAAAAACGATCTGTGAAGAGGATAAATTTACCGCCACACGCATATTCAACGTCGATGAGACAGGTTGCTCAACCGTACAACGGCAATGTCAGAAAATATTAGCCAAGAAGGGAAAACATCAAATTGGGAAGCATTTCTAGTGGAGAGAGGGGGGTAAATACTACTGTGGTTTGTTGTGCAAGTGCAGCAGGGCAGTTTGTACCACCCATGATAATTTTTAAGAGGAAACGTTTTCAAGAGGAACTTTCATTAGGTGCTCCGCCTGGCAGCATTGTCACTATTAGCGATACTGGATATATCAATAGCGATCTTTTTGTGACATGGCTTAATCATTTCATTGAAACAGTTAAGCCAAGCCCTGACGCCCCTGTTTTGCTATTGTTGGACGGCCACAGCACCCACAGTAAAAACCTAAAAGCTCTACGGATTGCCAGGGATAATGGAATTAGATTATTGCAGTTACCCAGTCACACCACACACAGACTTCAACCGTTGGATGTTGGATTGTTCAGAGCCTTTCAAAATGTTTATGGACAATGCATTCAAAAATGGTTGCGGAATAACGTGGGTCGCACTGTATCAATGTTTCAGGTTTCCGGGATAATTGGAGAGGCTTATGTGCTTTCTGCAACAGTGAGAAATGCACAGAACGCTTTTCGTGCTAGTGGCATTTGGCCTATAGATGAAAATGTTTTTAAAGAAACTGATTTTGCAGCTTCAATGATGTTTGACAAAGCATCAAACTCTAACCATGAATCCCAACAGGAAGCCTCTTCTGAAGAAGATAATATTCCATTGGCGCAAGTCGTATTACGAACGAAGAGAGCAGCATCAACTTCCCTAAATATTTCAGTTCAGGATATTTCGTCATTACCTATAAAGAAATCAAAATCATCAAAAGTTTGCCGCACCCAGGACGCAGTTGAATTGACTAGTTCTCCGTACAAAAACGAACCTGAAGCAAGAGCTGAGGCATCTAAAGTAAATTCGGTTAAAACTACTTTAAAATTGTCGAAAATTGGTTGTGAAAAAAAGGTAGCAAATTTAGGTGTAGCTAAATCTGACAGCTGGTATTGTGAAATATGCGAGTCCGAATCAGTCGAAGAAATGATCCAGTGTCTTAAATGTAAAATTTGGTTTCATGCAAAATGTGCCGATGTATCGCTAAGAACTAAGATATTTTATTGTTCAAATTGTAAAACTTAACCCGTTCCTCATTTTTAAATATAGGTTTTTAACATCGGTTCAATTTAGGGCGCTGTTGGTCCAATTAAGGATGCCGGTATCCCAAATTGGACGTTTTTTTATATTTCTTTCATTTGAAAAATAAAATATTATGAACTACCATGTATCTATTATTTGTGAATTCTTGGAATATAAACAGTATTTAGTAAATGATTTTTATGATAATATTTTGAAATATTTATTAACATGTGTAATACAACAGATATTTGAAAAGTGGTCCAAATTAGGAAACATTACCCTACACCTTAAGAAAAACCATTGTTATACATGGGAAATCATTACTTGGCAACAGCGCATCGGCTCGTCTACTTTCATCGCTATTCGTACATATTTCCTACCGTTAACGCGCGTGCCGTCGTCAAGTGCGATAAGGGATTCATGACTCACTCTGCGGTTGGGTTTTGTGTAGGAAAGGTGCGTCTTTATTTAATCCAAAATATCTTAAAAATGTACTCGCAAAAAGAAAAGTTTCAAAAGATAGAATGGTACATCCAGAATAATTCAGCACGCGCGGTTGTTGAATTATTTGCGGTACGCTTCCCAGATCGGCCAATTCCGTCTCACGCAACGGTTATAAATACCTACGAAAAATTCAAGAGGGTGGGCTGCTTACATAAGTGCCATAGCCGCATGCACCCTGAAGGTTGGAAACCAAAAATTAGCGAGAAAAGGGAGGAGATCGAAACTGCTGTTTGTGCCGCTGCAGACGTATCTGAGCCATGCTCAAGCAGAAAAATTGCTGAAATGGTACCAATAGCCGATCTCACACCCAGAACAATAAGAAATATTTTGCATCGCAACAGCTATCATAGCTTCAAGGTTGGAACGGTTCAAGAAATATTTCCTTTAGACAAATAACGTCGAATGGAGTTTTGTGAAACGGTCATGGAGAAGGCGAACAGGGATGGAAGTTTTATTGGTAACATTTTGTTTACTGATGAATCCACATTCCCTCTCCCCGGTCATCACAATCCTTCAGTCGTTCGGTATTGGTCTCGGGAAAATAAACACCTCAGTATTCTCGTCCGCACGCAGTATCCACAGAAACTGAATGTGTGGGCAGGAATTCTAGGTAGAGTTCGAACGCTCTTAGAATAGGACCGCTACGTCATCGTGGGCGGGTCCGCTCATCACGCGGTCGTCGACAGAGCGCAGTGGCGTTCTATTTTATTTGAAGTATAAAATAAAGTTAATAGGTTGTGTAGACATTGATCATTAATTGATTTTTGTATTATATTCATTTAGTATGCGCATTAAGTTGTTCGGAAGCAAATTTGAATTAGAAGAGGGAGCAAACTAAAGACGGTTATAATTCAAATTATATATTATCATTACAAAAATCTAATCGCTATCACATGATAGTGTGTTTAGCTCCAAATCTTCATCTGAGTCGCTTTCGTCACTATCTTCTGATGATGGCCCTGTCTTCACAGTGAATTGATACTTATCCATTTGATCGTCGAGAACATGTTCTTTTTCCATTTGTGCTTGCTCATATTTTTTCACGTGGTTACAAATTTTCTTCCACTCATCTGCTCCAATTTCTTCAAACCTGCTACGGGTCAGATGCTCCACATCAGACAACCTAAATGTCACATTTCCTGGAGAAACCTAGTTTTTTACGAGAGCCCAAATCTTCTCGATTGGGTTTAGCTCCGGATGATATGGAGGCAGTCGTAAAACTGTATGCCCGTGCTGTTCCATTAAGGCATCTAGCTTGTATTTGACTGGAAATCTTCTTTTATTTTCCTGTATTTTTTTATATAGTTCAACCTTAGTCAATGAGTTTTCACTAGGAATTTGATGTTTTTCTAGCCAGTCAATCATCTCTGATTTCAGGCTAGAAGAGGTTACATTTTTTTCTTCCAGGACATTGTGATAAGAAGCGTTGTCAACTACAAGCACAGAATTTTCAGGCAAATTTGGGATCAATTGGCTTTCTACCCATTTCATGAAGTTCAAATGATTCATGTCGTTGTGGTAGTCCCCAGATTTTGAGCCTGAAAATAAAATACATACATATATTCCAGTAAATGTAAAAATATATTGGAATTATTTTACATCATTGTAACACAAATAATACCTGATTTAAATATCAACAAGGCGTTAGGAATAAAGCCGAATTCTCCACCAGCATGCACAATAATCATTCGTTGTCCTTTTGATAAAGGCGTTTTTAGTTCCTTGTCATAATTGTCATCTGACCATCCTTTTTTTGGGGTATGACTAGAATGTATATATGTTTCATCCGTATAAATTATGTTCCTGTTCTCAGCTCTATATTTCATAATTTGCTTCAGATATTCGATACGCTTCCAGCGAATTTAATATTTTTCCATGAGAGCTTTTTTATTATCAGTAGTTCTTTTCCAGCTGTAGATATAAATTATATTTATAGCGTTGTAAATCGAAAACCTTATAGTGTGTATGATTGCTGACCTAAAGCCCATTTGTTTCAAAAGTTTGTTCAAAGTCGTTATTTTACCCTCAAAATTGAGTTGTCGATCTTGCATTTTTTTAAATACCTAAAAAATCTTAAAATGAAATATGACTAGATGCTACGGTTACAATTTAAAAACTTACATTTCAGCGAAGGTCTTCTTTTCTCCAAAATATAAAAATCGTATATGATTTGCTTTCATTTCTTCAATTTGGCCTGCAGTCATTTTTTCCACAACAGGTGATTTTCGTTGCCGCTTTTTAGATGGGGATGAAAATGAAAAGTTGCTTGAATATATTCCATCTCTGCTCTCTTTAATTATTTTTTGATAAGTGGCAGCTAACACACGTTTCCTAAATGGGTTAATCAGTTTTGACAATAATTATAAAAATCTTTTACATTCATACATACCGGTATTGTTGAAGTGGAAACTTTAATCCCTCTCACTTTTCTGTACCATGAAGTTATTGACATTGTTGATAATTTCCTTTCCTTGACTCCCAATCGCCTTTCCTTTCACGCCAATCTCTTTCACAGACATTGTTTAGATCACTGGTTCAAAACTATTAATAATTTAAATTTGAACAATAGTAAAAATTTCCACACTTATGACTAACGGACAGGTTTATATAGAGTAAAGTGGGGTAATATGGCACCATGGGTAATACGCCGCAGTTCAATATTTCCGTTGTAAATCGCGAGGGGGCGTCCAGGTAGGTGTCAAGTGCACGTTGATTTGCTGTTTTCATCGCGGAAAATATTCAAAGAGGAGTATTTAACAGTATTTAGGAAAAAATACGTAAATACAAGGTAAGTACATTGCTCAAATTATTTTTTAATAAGATTTTTGCCGATGTGAATGCAGTTGTAAGTATTTTGATGCTATTTCCAGTAGGGACCATGGAATCTGAGGTACATAACCTAACTTTTTATGCCACGTAGGATAACCAGATTTCACTAGACATGAGTTTATGATTTGCTAAATCTGGAAGATACGCTTTGGGGTAATATGCCATAATACTGCCATATTACCCCAAAATGCGGCATATTATCCCAGTATGTATCATTTACCATTTTAAAATTTCAGAGTAAAGAAGATGCCACGAAATTACACCAAGAAAAATGTGAGGGCCATGTGGTCGGCAGAAGATCTGATAAATGCAATCTCGGATGTTAGATGTGGTCGTGGTTCAATAAGGCAAATAAGTCGGACATATGCTGTGCCTGTTAGGACCTTAATGAGGAGGATCCAATCAGGAAACGCAAACAAGGTCAAGTTAGGGCGTAAGAGTTATCTAAGTCCAGAACATGAACGAAGCTTGGTAGATTATATCAAAAAAATGGAGAAGATGGGTTTTGCGTTAACACCTGTAGACGTAAAAAAGATTGCGTACTCTTTTGCCATCTGTAATAACATAGAAAATAATTTTAATCCGGAGAAAAAAGAAGCTGGCCATGACTGGTTCTGCTCTTTTATGAAGAGACATCCAAATTTATCCATTCGAAAAGCTCAGGGAATGTCAACGGCTCGAGCTCAAGGTATGAACAAAGAAGAATGCGATCATTACTTTGACCTGCTCGGGAACCTTTTAACAGAAAATAACCTAATATCCGCTCCCAGAAAAATTTTCAATGTAGATGAAACTGGGGTTCAGCTAAATAACAACCCAGGAAAGGTAATTGCTACCAGAGGTTCCAAAATGGTGCAGAGAAAGGTGAGACTGTGTCAGTTATAGCCTGCGTGAATGCAGAAGGTCATTTCCTTCCACCCTACTGCATTATGAAGGGAAAAAACAAGAAAAAAGAATTTGAAGACGGATTGCCACCAGGTGGTACAGTTGTAATGAGTGAAAAATCGGCGTATGTAACTACGGATATTGTCAAAGCATGGCTTCTTCATCACTTTATTCCACGTAAAGAACAAGGCAAAGCACTCCTCGTCCTTGACGGTCATTCCTCTCATTGCTCTGATGTGGAAATACTAGACCTGGCAACAGCCAATGACATAATTCTGTTGTGCCTACCTAGCCACACTACTCATTGGCTGCAGCCATTAGATAGATCATTCTTCAAGCCTCTTAAGGTTTATTGGAATGAAGCATGTAAGAAATGGGTACAAAACAATCCCGGTCGCAAACTCTCCAGATTGCAGTTTCCGTCACTCCTCAATACTGCATGGTGTAAAGCTGCCTCAGTTCAAAATGCAGTATCAGGATTTAGGACATGTGGTATTTTTCCTTTTGATAAATCCAAAATCCCAGAATATGCTTTTATCTGCAAAAATACTGCAAATGCTGCTCTTAGAAATGAGAATTCACCGGATGAAAATATTGGGGAAGCCACTGCTCATGTCATTATTGATGCCAACAACCAAAACAACGGGCGTTCTCCAAAGACAGCTGATCCAGATCAAAATCCATTTGAAGCTATTTCAGCGGTTCCGTGCATACCAGGAACGAGTGGGTGCCAGAAGCGAAAACAGCATGCAGAGGTACTAACATCACCAGAGGTAGTAGCAGCAAAACGAGAGAAAAAAGAGACCAAAGAAAAAAAAAGATCTGCGAAACTGATGAAATCCCAGCAACGGATGAAAAAAACGGATGAGAAACACAGTAGCAATACTAAGGAAAAGGCAGGAAGTAACAAAAAGCTTGCCAAAGAAAAAAGTCGTAGAAGAGCCCGATTTGATTCTAGTTCGTCCGAAAGCGAAACGGAAGTAGTTACACAGAAAAGTGGTGAATCAGAAATAGAAGTAGACCGTTCTGAAATTTGTGCAGAATGCGGTGGATATTATTTCGACAAAAAGGGTCCCAAATGCGATTGGATACAATGCACGAGGTGTTCAGACTGGATCCATGAGATCTGCACAAGATCTGACTTATACTGCAAGGATTGTATCCCACTTCAACAGCTGGCAAACGATATGAAATGGAAAAATTGAATGTTTGTTTTTCATTCTAGTTCAAGTTTCTTTTTATTTCTTATTTGACATATTTGAACTTATATACCTGATGCTGGGGGAATATGGCAATTTGTCATTATTCGAGAATTTTGTTTCCTATTGGAACTACGGTCAAACCAGCACAAAAACTGACTTAGTTAACCATACTTCATACTTTAAGGACCGTCTAGCCAGTTCGATTGCAAGGCTGAATGGAGACATTACAGATTTATGGTCCAATAAAAAACAAGTTGCCATAATACCCCATTCTACTCTATCTGTTGCAGGTAAAATAAATGTGATTAATTACCACTCATCGTCTTAACGCTACTTATGAACGAAGGGATTTAGCAACCGGAAATTATTCCAGGTAGTTCAATTTTACCCTTGTTATTATTAGATTTGTTTCTACTAATTTTATTTACCTACGTTTGATATTGGTATTAGCCTATTTATCTAGGTACTAATGATGCACTCTAGGAAATCTCATGATTGGTATATAAGCCGATCACAGTCTTAGGATTAATTTAATTACTTTCAGTTGTTTGCCAACTTTGGGGTTTTACCCTTCAATATTGTGTATATTATATGTAGGTACCTGCTCACTATTTTATATTTTGATTTATGGATCTCCATCAAATATCCATAAGATTAACAATTTTCAACACAATCAAATATAAAATATGATATGGTTAATAAATAAAAAAATAAATAAATCGAACAAACGTCTCATCAGATCGCAATTGTGTCAACAATCTCAACTGACTGAAACTTGCGTATCTACATACTAAAAAACGTTCCGCCTATGGCTTACTGAGAGTGGGATGTCCCTTAATAGCGTCAACAGCAACATAATTTCTGGACATTGAAGACCACATACATTTTTAAGCTTTCTACGATATAAATATTCGCCACGATTAGAACTGGACCACATTAAGAGAGCGGTAACAGATGTCCATAAATCTTACCAAAGACTGCCACAACAATTTCCTATATTCTTATAGGGTATAATCGACGCAAGGGAGAGGGTATAAAGTGATGACGTAGCGGGCATAACCTTAGGCTGTTCGAACTCTAATAACATTATCGGACTGTTCTTTATTGATGGAACTCTTACGGCTGCAAAATACAGGGTGGTCCATAAGTCCTTTGAAATTTCAAATTTGAATAAAATTTAACGGGTGAGCGTGAGCGGCGCGGGCGAGGTGGAGGCAGTATCTTCAGTGTCTGGGAATTCAGTCGCCATGGAGTGTTTCACTGGAGCGGATCGTGCTTTTTGTGTGCGCGCGTTTTATCAAAATAATGATTCGGCAACCATTGCGCGGCGTAAATATCGAGAATACCACAATTTACACAATTTTACAAAGTCTCCAACAGCTCAAACGATTAAGAACTGGGTTGCTAAGTTCGAAGAGACTGGTTCGACGTTAGATAAACAGCGGTGGGGTCGACCAAGAACAACTCGTATTGAAGAAAACAACAACATTGTGGCACAGTCTGTTCGTCAAAATCCTACCCAGTCTACTCGTAAGCGTTCCAGTGCACTAAACGTACCCAGAACGTCTTTACAGCGGATTTTAAGGAAAGATTTACGTCTTCACGCTTACAAAATTCAGTTAGTGTAGGAATTAAAAGATAATGACGCTATTCAGAGACTAAACTTTGCGAATGAAATGTTGAATCGATTTTCTTCGCTCAATAATGTGTTGTTCTCGGACGAGGCTCACTTCCATTTAAACGGGCATGTAAATAAACAAAATTGCCGTTATTGGAGCCCCGAAAATCCAAGGCGTAAGCATCAGAAGCCCTTACACAGCCCTAAAGTTACAGTTTGGGCTGCTATGTCAGCGCATGGCATCGTAGGCCCTTATTTTTTTGAGGACGACAGAGGTCGCGCATTAACTGTTACTTCGGAGCGGTATGTTAGCAATGATAGAAGAGTTTTTGACACCAGCGTTGCAGAATTTTCCAGGCTATAATACGCAGACCTGGTTTCAACAGGACGGAGCAACTGCCCACACCTCCAACACTTCTATGCCCGTCGTCTGTCAACTTTTTCCCAGCAAAGTAATTTCTCGAAGAGGAGACATTTCCTGGCCACCACGTAGTCCAGATTTGACCCCAATGGACTTCTTTTTATGGGGCTACCTCAAGAGTAAAGTGTACGACACCACTCCGCGATCAGTTGATGTCCTGAAAGAAAATATCCGAAGAGAAATGGCAAGCATTACAGTGTTGACTTGCCGCGCAGTCATCGACAATTTTAGACGTCGTTTATATGAGTGCCGTGATCGTAATGGATTGCATTTAGACGATGTGATTTTTAAAACATAATTCCCATGATTCCCAGATGATAAAATATAATAATTCTTCATAATGTAACTAGTTTGGTTTTATTCCTTTTTTTCCAGCTCAAAGGACTTATGGGCCACCCTGTATTTGGCGTTACTACAGACGCAGATTGTTCCTGCAATTAGGCAGCTTGGCATTGATCTCGCTAATATTTGGTTCCAACAAGATGGATGCCCGGCGCATAATGCGGCGATCGTACACACTTACCTTGAAAGTGTGTTCGGTCACCGGATTATTGGCGGTAACGGAACAATAAAATGGCCTCCTAGATCACCCGATCTAGCGCCCAATGATTTTTTCTTGTGGGGTTATGTGAAAAGTACTGTTTACACTATCAATGAGAGAGCAGACAATTTGCATAACCTACAGGTGAAAATCGTTGAAGCGCTCGGGCAAATACAGCCTTCTACCCTCTTGAGAGTTCGTCAGGAGTTTTATAACCGCCTGACATACTGTTCATTGAATGAAGGAGACGTTTTTGAGCCCCAGCTGTGAAGGACCATTTGAAACATTTGTGTTCATTATTGCGTTTTATTTTTGAGAACTTATTTTTTTGTTAGAATATCTTTTTATTTTCGTTACACATTTTTAAGAGTGTACTATTTTTTGTTAGAGTGGGTATCTTCTTATTTTTGTTATGAGACGCAACCTTTATTGCTACAAAACCAATTATCCATTCATAAAAATAAGTAGAGTGATTTAGGTGATTTCGTGAAATCTCGAAATCACCGAAATCGGTTCACAGGACGTTCAATCGAACTGGTGCGTAATGCGCGCATCTACTGTATTCTTCTGTCGACTCAACGCATACTGAAATTTGCAGCAGACCGCATACCTGTATCCCGAATGAGAATAATAGGCAGATACGCTGTGTTGCCAATTTGAGTAGAGCTTCCCGAATTGTGGGGAATTTAGAGTTAAGTGTTGATTCATTCAAGCTTTTAATCAGCATGGCCTAGACGTTAGAACTTCATAAAGATAACATTGAAGCTGAATGCTGCTGGAGTATAGTGTTTCGAATATTCAAAGCGGAGCGGGACACTATACTCGTTTAATGGGTCATCAAGCCACAGTCTTTTCAACAAAGAAATTATTTTACGAAAATGCGTTATATTTTTACGATTTTGTCGTCACCAAATCTCTTGTTTCTCAAAATGTACGTCTATTGTAGAATTTTCAGCAAACTAAGCAAGAAACGTGATCTAGTATTTACTCAACATTACGGATTTCTCGAAATACATTAAAAAATGTGACCTAGATACCTAACTGCCCCAAGCTCTTTAAATATAACACCTTAAACCAGGGTTACCAGGTGCTCAGTCACGTTGATTGTCATGTTGTACTGCGCAAGTCAGCAAACAATCTGGCGTAATAAACGTTAGGAATCATCAGGTATTGCCAGATTCCCGAATACCGGGCACCATAGTACCCGTTATAGTTGTCCTTCAAAGTTGTCAAATCGCCCATATGGCGCAAATTCGCCACACCAGGCAACTGTGCTATAAACAAACCCTGTTTATCAGTACTATTTGATAGTCATATGGTAGTTGTAGCCCTATCTAGCGGTCCATGATTTCTCTCAATACTGTTGTATCTCTACTGGCAACAAGAATAGGGATTACAAAATCATTTATACAGGGTCTGGCAATGAAGTATGGTGTTTTTGCAACGACTATTACAAGCAGCACTGTCGAGCCAATGTTTTCACGATGATTGATATCTACTCGTTCCGCGATGCAATTTTAGTAGCCATGGAGCCGTCGTCTGTGGCACATCGCGTGTTTATTTACAACACTTTTATTGAAACTGGTCGTTCTGTTGTGCTCACACAGCGACGATTTCGAAACCATTTTAACGTTGGTCGGCATGGTCGCGTTCCAAGACGCGATACCATTTTGAAGTGGGTGAATAAATTTCAAACAACCGGATCGTTGAGACCTGGTACTGCAAGGGGAAGAGATCGAACAGTGCGAACTCCGGAAAACATTGAAAGAGTGCAACAAGCGGTGGATACTAGCCCTCACCGTTCAGCGGTACGTCACGCTCGCGCTCTTAGAATGTCAGATCGTTCAGTTCGCAAAATCTTGCATTTGGACCTCCATTACCATCCGTATAAAATTATGGTTGTGCAGAAGCTGCTCCAAAAGACTTTGTGAGACGACACAGGTTCGCAGAAAGGATGCTGGAATTGCTGCACGGCAACATCGTTTTGTTCATGAGTGACGAGGCCCATTTGCATTTATCGGGCATGGTAAACAAACAAAACTTCCGATACTGGGCACACGAAAACCCACGAGAACTGCATGAACAACCTCTGCACTCTGAGAGGGTAACTGTTTGGTGTGCCGTATCTCGAAATTGCATAATTGGCCCGTATTTTTTTCGTGAAAACGGACGAACAGTGTCAGTGAACTCAGATCGTTATTGCGCCATGTTGCGTGATTATTTTCTGCCCGAACTAAGAAGACGACGCATTGACATCAATACAGTTTGGTTCCAACAAGATGGAGCGACTTGCCATACATCAAGAGCTGCAATGGGCTTTTTAAGGGAACATTTTTCTGGGCGCCTTATTTCGTTGCATGGAAATGTGGAATGGCCACCTCGGCCACCAGACCTTTCATGTTGTGACTACTTTTTATGGGGCT